GCTCGAGAAGAACCTGGCTATTACACGCGATCATAAAACTGACGTAACTACGCGGTAAGTCACAAACACCAACAAACAAAATGGAAGTTTTGGTTTGAAATAAATACTTTTTCTTGCCGTACATCTAATAATAGACAGATGTCGTCGTCTCTCCAGCTGTCTTTTTTATTTTTCTGTCGATAGCCCGACACGTGTTCCGCAGCCATCTTGTATTTTCTCGCGCGCGTGAGATTGTGGGATCTCTCTTATGACTGGATTTAGTTTCGAGAACTCTCTCCAGGGTTCGCGCCGCGATCGGACAGGCTGGCTGCAAGGAGTTTTCCGGGTTTTCTCCTTGCCAATAACGACTGAATAGGAGGCCAGTTCCCCTTAAAAGTCCTCCCGGAAGGCATTATTTCCCGCGCGTGCGTATAAGCCGTTAGATACGGCCGGCTCTTCGGTCGCATAGCGATCAATAACTCGTCTTTCGGAGAAAAAGCATTTAAGGCTATAATCTCCATATGAACCAAGGGTGTAGAATAAGAGAGAGAGGGAACTCTCTCCAGTCGATCGCGATTGAATCTCGTTTCAGTCTAGATTGAAACGGTCGAGAGCGTTCGCACCACGGAACACTCTCCGACCTTAGTCACAATCTAGATCGAAATGCTCGGTGCGAACGGGGTATAAGGTTCCAGAAGTGTCAGAGTATCATAGGCTTGGGGTCTGTGTACCAAGCCTTTTTAAAGCTTGCTGTCCGATTGTCGTTCTTGGTGGGGGACGACCCTGGCGGGGTTTCTAACATCTCCCTAAACTGAAACCTATCCCCGCTGGAGCGGACGGCTACTAGAGCTGCAAATTAGCATTATGGCATGCAGACTCACACTAAAACAGAAGGGAAACTGGTGAGATCGGGGCGCAGGGCCATCCTTAATAGTATCGGCAATAAGAGGGCCAAAATGAGCCCTCAGTAAGTCCGGAGCTGGAGGATGGTCGCTATAGCCGTTACCAATATGATTCCTAAGGAGGACTTGTCTCTGGACGAGATACGCAGAGTGTAGTCGATTGGGTTTGTCTGACGCAAGTTGGTAGCTCTGCCGACGGAAGTGTAGGCACCCGTTGGCCTGCGGTGTGATGGCACTCGATAGGGACACTGCCGAAACGTGGTAGGGACTCTTTGCTTCGGCCAACGGTCCAGAGTCTCCCTATTCGCGATGGTCAAATCATTTGCTTGAAGCGAGATGCACGTTGTACCCTGGGCCGATGGGTTATGTCCCTGATTACACATATAGGAGCACACAGTGGACGCTGAAACTTCTGGATTCAAATCCCGCGTCGGTACAGAGACCGGAGGCCATGGATCTGACAATCCGCACCCTCTGGGATCTGAGACACACGAAACAAACTCCTGCATCCACCCGGTGGCACGAGACCGATGTTACACGTTAAAAGGCAGTTGAATGCAGTCGACTCAGCCTTAGCCCGTGATAACGCAGACCATGTAAAGCTCCTTCTGCCCGGTAAAAGAAAAACCAGCGTCCCAAGAGGAAGACCGGGCTTCGCACACCCGGTGCTGGCTTGGGGGCCACGGCCTGCATGCCGAAGCCAGTGGGGCGAGGAGTCGAACTCCCAAGCTGAAGCCTCGCTGGTGGCCAGGGGGATAGCGCCCTCAGTGGATTGTGGGATCCTGCTCGCTGGTGTCTATCATGACGGGCAGTTGGCAGAGCCGCTCCTCGGACATAGGGTCACCTTCCCTATGTCCTTGGGGGGAGAGGTGCTTTTAAAGGCCTGACGTTGCGTTGGATGGCTGTATATGGTCTCGGAGGACTGGAAACGGGAAGAGCGTCTCCTAGTAGGGATGATGGGGCGGCCCAAGCCGAGCAACCAGCCGGGCTGGGGCGACCTTGGGTAGGAGGCCATTTAAATGGGGGATCTGTCCCGGCAGCGGGCAAAGCAGTGACGACCCGGCAACAAGAGGGCCAAAATGAGCCCTCAGTAAGTCCGAAGCCAGAGTTAGCTCTTAAACTCACACTTGAACGGGGTCAGGGCACCCGTGAAAGGTCGAGACTACCCTAATCCCCTCTTTATCTTTTACTTGTATGATGGCAAACTCAGAAACTGTGTGCGAATGCTTTAAGGGTGCGTCTAGTGCGGACGATACACCTAATGTTTCTGGCGGTCGAAGAGACAAAGTCGTGGAGTGAGTAAGTGTGATAGGCGGTGAAATGGCGAGCACCATGCCTAAGGAGAGGCGGGCTTGCATGTCCGCAAGCCCACCAATGAACAATCACACGAGCCCAAGGGTGATGGGCCTGCAAATACTGTAAAAGTATCGATCCCCATAGGGACCAGCGGGTTCCGATTCGGACTCGACTGGGTCCGTTCTGGGGAAATTTTTGATTCCGCCTCCTCTGGTGAGGAGAGCGAGTGGAGGCCCGCGCCTTCAAACGCCAGAGCCAGGCGTCGACAAAGACGGGTAAAGGTGGCCAAGGCTAAAGCGGCGGAACCTGCGGGTGACAAACCCAAGGGCGAACTATAAATGTTTAAAATATCAAAATGTAAACATTCAAAAAATTTAATAGGATTGTAGGATTAAGACAATGTAACACATGGGACATCTGCCATGGGGCCTCTCAGGAAGAACTTCGGAAGAACTCAGGAAATGTTACCTATATTTAGGTGTTAGGCGCGTGAAGGAAATCCGGAAAACTCCAGTAGTTTCCCGTTGGTTAAGCTCGAACCCGCGACTAACTATCATTCTTCAATGGTTTTATTCACTCGGTCACTGTGGACAAAATTTAATAAAGTATTTCTTAAAGATGCTTATCAGAATATTATAAACTAAATTATCCCAATAATCTATTTTGATTTAGTTAGTATTCTTTATTACAAGAACAATATAATTATGATGGAGGAGGCAGTTAAGGCGTCAGCTTATCACAGTATAGTGACCGGAATCGAATCCAAACGTAATTTTCTCGTGTAATTTTTTGAAATATTATTCGCGTTACTTCTATTTTAAACAATAAACGATTTAAATTACAGGTATTTAAATTAAATTGTGATATATATTTTATGACTAAATTATTTATGATAATGTACCAAGCCTTTTTAAAGCTTGCTGTCCGATTGTCGTTCTTGGTGGGGGACGACCCTGGCGGGGTTTCTAACATCTCCCTAAACTGAAACCTANAATATAATGAGGTTGTCAAGTTACATTCACAGATTTTTGCAGTTTACTACATACCAGGATATGAAGTATCCAGAGTTGAGAATATTAGAGACCTACGGGTATATTATGATACTAGATTTTCTTTTACAGTGCATGTGGAAAAGATACCTACAACGTTAGGAATAATTTTTAGATTTTTGAGACTATGTCCGGAAATAAATGTACTAAAAATTTGTATTTAGCTCTTGTTTATTCGAAGATTTTATCAATATTTGCGCTAGTGATTTGTAATACACGACTGATGACAATTAAACATAGAGTATAATCAGTTAATAACCGTATTAGAAGATATTGTAGAAGGAAATTTATGTTAAATCAAGAAAAGGCTGAAATGTATTTACCACCTTTAATGAACTTTGTAATGCTGTATTCAATGTTGGTAATTTTTAAGGTCTTTGTTACAATCTGAAATCGAAGCTGCTGCTTTGTTAGAACAATTACATCTTCAAGTACCTTTATCTACTTAGGAACTACTTTAGATTTCCTTGGTATAAATCTAATATTACTCAAAATATATCTGTTCATAAACTTGCAGTACTTTATAATCACTTTGGACGGCGACTAGATTTGTTCATTTCTAAGCGACAGTTTTGGTAGTCACTGACTGCTCAAGATATTTAATAATGAACGTTAAAATTAATATGAAAATTGTCCTTACATTTAAATTCAATTCAAATGTTTTGTATGCATGTATACAAACTTATGTTTTAATTTTTATATTACTGTATATTCTTTGTATACTAAACAGACCTGTAATTAGGTCGATTTGGTAAATAAATAAAAACAAATAATTTACATTACGATTTATTTATAGGAACCGGAGAATGAATCCTATATTAAAGAATTTATAAAAAAATATAATATCCAATTTGATATGTTTAGTAAGATTGATGTTAATGGAGACGATGCTCATCCTCTTTGGAAATATTTGAAGTTTAAACAGGGTATCAAGTAAGTAGGTCTTAAATACAGAAGCAATTGTTTAAAATAAGTTTTAATTTATACATTCTTTTTCAGTTCTATTAAATGGAATTTCACAAAATTTCTGGTGGATAAAAATGGACAACCGGTTGCTCGTTATCCACCTAATTACCAACCACTGGTAAGAATTAATTATGATTGATATTAGCAGTAATAATAAGTATTTCGACTAATATTATGCTTTTTGTAGGATATCGAACCAGATATTTTGAAATACATTGAAAAGAGTAACTTATGATCTATTATGGATCTTAGGATGTTTTTTGTTGACACAATACACATGGAATTTAAAAATATTTTTATTAAACAGAAGGTATTGAAAGATAATATTTCTCGATTTATTTATGTAATTTATAATTTCCGTTAATAAAGTTTACGATATTCATTTAATCCAGTCTTTATAAGCTTCTGCTCCTTTGGCTTCAATATCGTCTACGCCGTCGTCGTTTACTAAAGTTCCATCTTTCTTGAGAATGATTAATGTTGGAATGCCTTCGATGTTAAATTGTTTTTTTAATTTCCTATGTTATGAGATAAATAATTAATGTTTCATTGTTTTATATAAATAGTCTATATATATATTTTACAAAAGAATTGACTTACTCGGTATCTGTAGAACCGTAGGGAAGAGCGTACCAATCACCGTGGCTTTCTTTCATATAATCAAATAAAGATTCCTCATTCTCGTCAAATGATACAAAAACGACTTCGAATTTATAGTTTAATTTTTTCATTTCTTCGTAAGCGGAAACCAGGAGGGGAGTGAACCCACGACAAGGTCCGCACCAATGAGCAGAAAAATAGAAACCTATTATTTCCGCATCTGCTAAAGCGTCATTTACCTGAATTTGAGATTTGTCTCTCTTAACTAAGGATCCACTAATGATATTCATGACTGAAATTGTAAAAAAATAATAATTAAATCTCATTTTCTATAGGGTTTATGTTTGTACAGTTTACAAGTAAAGATTAAGCGTATAGTGTAATATTTAATATTAATTCCGTATGACGTTCTCTTTGCACCCTTTTTGCTCCCATGTTAAGAATTAGAATATTTTTACATTATTCTGAACAATTTTTAAGATTTAAATTAGCGATTCGCGTTAAAACCAATTATTCTCTTGTGATATATTTACTAATTTATTCATAGTGATATAAAACTTTTTACAATTTCTGTCAAGAGAAAATTAAAATAAAGGATGAAAATTCAGATAATAAAATTAGACTTAGAATCATCATTATATTATTAGTTTTATTTTTAAACTAGCTAACAAATAATAATAATGCTCGAGGGATTTGAAAGTAAAACTGGAACGACTATGGCAAAAACTAGCAGCAATGATACCAAGGGCTACTACAGGAATTATTATATTAAACTTTTAATAAATTAATTAATATATACGAGTATAATATATTTATTTTTGCCTGATAATAGATAAAGAGACAAGGATCAAATTCGAGAAGAATATAAAAACTTTCCTTTTTTTTCAAAAATTCTCCAGTGAAAAGGCAAACTATCTGTAGTTGTCTCCAATACTGCAAAGTCTAAAGGGTTTAAGTTGGGGCTGTATGGACACCATTCGATACCGTCTCCAACCGTTCCCAGTGCATCCAGAGCTATCAATCTGGGACCAAATATCATGTTTATTGTTTTGCATACATAAATAGTATGCGCAATTTATTCCACTATCAAACTCTCAAATACAATTTGTTAAAAATTTAGTGCTTCTCCATCAGGACATACGATACAGGATGGAGCATATGTTATTAGCCTAATAGTGTTCTGATATACTTACATTTTAGTTAGATTTTATTGCATTTATTCGTTAGACTAATTTAGGCAGATCTAAATCGCAATGAAAACATGGTGTAAATCTTTACATCGTGAATAGATACGATTAAACGACGTTTTATATCTATGAAATAAATCGGATTAGAATTGGAAATACGGCAACTTATTCAGCAAAAATAAGACGACAGGTGTCGTTTGTCATGTTATATACAAAATATACTTCCAAAAGGGACGTCCCGATACTTTCGATACCGATACCATTATCGATACCTTTCCTCCGGTATCTGATCTGGAATCCCTACATTTTTCACAAACAAGTAAGCTCCGACCGGAACCAGATTTTGAAGATGAATCAGAAACCGAAATGAAATTTTACACTATTTTCGGTTAAGCTAAACATATAACAAAATATTAACTACCAAAAATCAATAAATGTATTAGGCCTACGTCAAACTTCATTTCCAGAGTCTATATATGCTTGCAGTTTTGATTACTATTTATAAATAAATATTTAGTTTAACATTATGCAGTACTTTTGTTTGTTAATCAACTTGCATATTTAAAATGAGCTAAAATTTGCATATACAGTAGGCCTACTTGTTTTCAGCGATATTTGTAAAATCTGAATACAATAAAGAACTGTCAATGTAAAGACACTGTTTTACCTTTTCAACCAACGATTTCTTATCTACTCCTATCCCGTGTATAATAGTAGCACAGAGCCAATTTAACAGGACTACATCTGGGGCTTCTTTTGTCAAAATAAGACATCTTGCGAGTTTAAACTGAAGTAGGCTACTGATTGACGTACTGACTTCTAAACTAGATATTAGTAACAAACTATAAATTTTTGCTCTGGGGTCTTCATTGTAACGAGTACAGTACACTAATTTTACGCGATTTTGAAATAATGTGGTCGACAAAACAAAACTAATCCTTTTTTATGCGATCGATTTTTTTACATGGGGAAAACAGTTTATTTGAAAAGTTTTATATTTAATTTTTCGTTGAAATTGTGTTATTGTTTTAAAAAAGTTACTTTTTTGTTAAAGCCAAGAGTTAATTTATCTTTTAAAGCACAGTACAGTAGCCTACACAATGTACGGTACGTCGGAGAATGTTGTATGCCGATTTTGTTTCCTACGCTACCTTGAGTTTACTATAGTTACGTATAAATAATGTTAACGTTTGTTTGTTTGTTTTATTAAGTACGGCAACGCAACATTTAGGCGATCTGCCTAGGGGGATGCCTTCCGGGAAGACTTTTTAAGGTCCCTATTCAGGCGTTACAGAGGTGGAGAAAACCCGGAAAACCGTACGTGGCCAGCCTGTCCTGGCAAGGCGTGAATCCATGACTTAACTCCCAGTGTTCACAGAACGGAACTGCTTGGCCACTGATTGGCCTAATGTTAACGATAAACGATGTTAGAATAAAAAAAGCTCGTGTTTCTTTTGTAAATTGATTATTTTTTCGTTCCATCGAAGTTGTGTATCCTATCGAACATTTTTCTACGGGATTCATGTATCATGTACTGTACGAGTACAATATATTTTTTATGAGATTTTTTTACACGGTGTTCTTTAGAACGTATTCACCACGCAAAAAGATGCACAATGTGCCTTTTCAGCAGTAAAAACATCCGGAAGGTGACATGACAGAGTGAACAATGACATCCGGCAATATTTACAGCCGATGTCGATACTGGCCGGTATCGATACTTTAAGACCGATACCGATATAGATACTTTTGTGGTATCGGGACATCCCTACTTACAGCATTAGAAAATTTATCTGACGTTAAAATACCACCATTAATAACTAATGTTTACAAGCTTGTTGTGTTACACAATTCCTCATTTACTATATTAATACTGTATGGCACTCATATTTTTTAACATATTTTTATTGTAATAAATTTAGTCAATTTGAGTACTACCAGCAGTAATTAAACCGAAATTTGTATTTAACAGTTTCTTTGTAGTTTTACAAAATCGTAAAGTTTAATAAGAGATCCATGAGTTTAATAAGAGGTGATGGATAAAAGCTATCGCAGATTAGAATATTTCCGTTTCTCTAAAGCTGGGGAAAGTAGAAGAGGAAAATTTTCCTCATTTCTCTTCAAATCTTACTCTAGATGTATCTACTTATACCCTGTGCAAGAAATTTTTACTTCCATATTTTGGAAAAATATAATAGAAATTATTAGTTAATTTTTAACTTTATACCGAAAACGTTACGCAATCGGTCTCCACGTCGATAAAATTTAAAATCTGAAAATTAAAATATAATGGAGTAGATCGATCTACTCCATTATATTTGATCCATAGCTAATCTGGCATCTCAATTATACGGCTTACCTTACAGTATGATCGTCTATGTGCTTCTGTTTTCATGAAAGTGTTAGTCGTGTCACGCATCCTGTTTTATTTTGCATAGTATTCCGTGACACGGAATACTATGCAAAATAAAACAGGATGCGTGACACGACTGCCATATTATTGCACGCCTGCCTCCAAAAATAATCAGCATCATAGAGCGACCGGTCAGGTTATTCACTGCTTTAGGTCCATACACTCAGTAATCCAGCACTCTCGCTAATCTGGCGCCACTGTGCAAGAAATGGCTAGATTAACGAGAGTCACCATACTAATCATTTTTTATACCCCATTTCAAGGCTCCCTTTTGTCCTGTGTATCTGTTGTGTCCTTAGTTATAGCACTGCTCGTTACCTCCGAACGAATACCGAATGCACAAGTCCCGTTTTTTTCAAAAATAACGGGTTTGTACATCATTAATTTATGATATAATTTCCTTAATTTCTAAGAGATACTTTAGTACTTACAATGACATGCACTATAAGTTAGTTTGATATCATGCTTTTAGTTAAAAAATATATATACAGTGGTACCTCAGGATACGAACGCCCCAGCATACGAACTTTTCAGGAAACGACATGAAATTCGAACATATTTTTGCTCCACGGTACGAACAAAAACTCACCATACGACGTTACATTAGTTCGCAGCGCCATTTTTTATTCACTTCTGTTCATTGGTCTTAGTCCGCGTGTTTGCTTCGTCGTGAAAGGATCTCGCTCGATAAAAGAAATCTCGAGGAAAGTATTATCAGAAAGTGACTGATTTTATTGAAAAGAAACATCCCGAAAAGTTTTACATTGGCCGTATTGCTGCTCGGAGTAATGACATTTGCCTAAGTCATTTTAGAAACATTTTAAAAAGTACGCAAAGCCAAACTCTTTGGATAGATATTTTACCAAGAGACCTCTATCCAGTGAAAGTGCTGGTGGAAGTAAAGGAAAGAAAGCAAAAAGCAGTGAATAAAAAATTTAAAAAATATATAAAACAGAAAAGTTAAAAAATTAGTGTTAAGATACTTTTAAGTTATTGTTACATTATGTTACGTAAGTTAAGTTTTCGTATCATTTCCCTTCTTCCTCTCCTCCGCCACCAGTTTACACCTCCATCATCGTCTATCCTCAAAGGTAAAGTATAAATAAAACTACATTTCTTTTAATCAATTATTATTCTATTATGGTTATTTATACATTTACAACTACAAAATGCATTTTTCAGTGTTTTCCTTACTATAGTTATTTTTTTTTTAATGTATTACTTAGCTTTGAGTGTGTTTTCCGTGTTAGAACGAATTATTTGGTTTTACATGTAATCGTATGGCGAAAAATGATTCACCTTACGGAATTTTCATGATACGATCTCAGTTTCGGAACGGATTAATTTCGTATCCTGAGGTACCACTGTATTTGCTGATAGCAAATGACACAACTTTTAATTTGCTATCAGCAAATATATATATATTTTAACTGAAATATAACACTGAAATATTTTGTTATGGGGGCCTAGTAGAGGCCCCCATAACAAAACTCTGGCTACGCCCATGTATACGAGTACAGTAATATCTCGACTTACGCGAACCCGGAGTTACGCGATTTTCAGATTTCGTCGATTCGTGTTTTGTTTGAGCGCCACGCAACTCTTGATTACTCATTCCCCCCCGCACTACTTCAGCTTACATGTTCAGCTTACATGTTCGGACGTGTCGCGCGGAATTGACACATAGCTACA